TTCCCAGTGTATCCCGGTGCATTCCCAGTGTATCCCGGTGCATTCCCAGTGTATCCCAGCACATTCCCAGTGTATCCCAGTGCATTCCCAGTGTATCCCAGTGCATTCCCAGTGTATCCCAGCACATTCCCAGTGCATCCCAGTACATTCCCAGTGTATCCCAGCACATTCCCAGTGCATCCCAGTACATTCCCAGTGTATCCCAGCACATTCCCAGTGTATCCCAGTACATTCCCAGTGTATCCCAGCGCATTCCCAGTGTATCCCAGGGCTCACCCGCGATCTGCTTCATGAAGGTCATGCAGACGCCGTCGGCTCCCAACACTCCGCTCTTCACCAGCTCCCGCAGCAGCCACACCAGCTGGGAATGTGGGAATGGGAATGGGGGAATGGGAATGTGGGGATGGGAATGTGGGGATGGGAATGTGGGAATGGGAATGGGGGAATGGGAATGTGGGAATGGGAATGGGGGAATGGGAATGGGGGAATGGGAATGGGGGAATGGGAATGTGGGAATGGGAATGCGGGAATGGGCCAGGGATTCGGGATCAGATCCAGGTAGGGATTCAGGATCAGTCCCAGGCAGGATTTGGGATCAGACCCTCACAGGGATTTGGGATCAGACCCTCACAGGGATTCGGGATCAGACCCAGACAGGGATTTGGGATCAGACCCTCACAGGGATTTGGGATCAGACCCTCCATGACACCCCCCTCCCCCACTCCCATCCCAAATTCCCACACCCATTCCCTGTTCCCATCCCCCATTCCCTCCTCCCGCTATTCCTGCTCCCTGTGGAAAAGATTCCCGGTTTTTTTTCCCTCACCTGTGTCCGACAGGTGTCCTGGAGCTTCAGGTACTTCTCCATCAGGATGTGGTTGATCTTGTTGAGGACGATGTTCATCCCATCCCGGCTCACCAGGGCCAGGTCCCGGTAGCACTGCGGGAAAATGGGGTGGAAAATGGGGGGAAAAAAAGCTTGGAAAAGGGGGTGGGAAATGGGAAAAATAGCTTGGAAAAGGGGGTGGAGGATGGGAAAATGTACCTGGAAAAGGGGGTGGAGAATGGGAAAAAATAGCTTGGAAAATGGGGTGGAGGATGGGGAAAATCAACCTGGAAAAGGGGGTGGAGAGTGGGGAAAATCAACCTGGAAAAGGGGGTGGAGGATGGGAAAATCAACCTGGAAAAGGGGGTGGAGGATGGGAAAAAATAGTCTGGAAAAGGGTGTGGGAAATGGGAAAATCAACCTGGAAAAGGGGGTGGAGGATGGGAAAAAAAAGCTTG